ACGAGGCTCTGGCAGCTTCGACGACTTGTCGTTGGAATGGTTAAAGTGATGATCCGAAACTCTCTCTTCTCCTCGACTCGCTAGTTGTGTTAGGTACGGCGGGGATCCGGTGCTTCTGTGCTTGCTAGTGGTGTTTGTGGAGCTCGGGCAGCGCCGGTTTGTGGAGTCAGTTCGTGGTTCCTTCGGTCGGGGGTGGGCCGATTTTTTAGTTTAGTTCGGGGTTCGGGTCGGCTTCTGTATAGGCGTTTCGGCAGTTTCAGAAGTGGGTCCTTGGCCCCGGGATCATTATTGGAATTGATCGTTGCTCTGCTGGTTCGGGCATTTGTTAAGCTGGGAAAGAGCTCGATTTTGTTGTTTTTTCATTTCCGTTGTCGTATATCTGTGTTGCTTTTGCCTGTGTTGTTTAGGTCTTGTGTTTTTGGTTTGTGCCGTTAGCCTCTGTTCTGCCCAAGTATGAGTCAGTATTATTCTGTTAGGGTCGTTCTTTCGTCATTCTCCTCTTGGGAGTTTTTTATTGTCTGTAGTGTGTATCGTGTTTTTGTGTGCTGCCGAGTGGATTTTAGCATTGCTAGTTCGATTTCTAGGCGATCTCCGGATTGGCCTTCCAGTTTATTCAGCTGTTAGTTGTGTCATTTAGCTAGGGACTGTAATTTTACACATTTGTGCGTTTCATTTATAGTAATCTCTTTCGTTTCGAAAAAATAAAAATACTACTACTACTACTAATAATAATAATAGATTGTAACAATTATTATAATAGAAAACTGTCATGTAAGTAAAATTTATTAGGTTTTATTAATGAGATTTTATTTAATTATTTGCTAGCAATTATATATATATATATATTAAATGCTAATAAAAATTTTGTTGCTATTTTTAATCAAATACATCCTAGTTAAAAATAGCACTAAAACACAATTAATCATAGCACTACATACAATTAAAAATAGCGGTTCTCACGGTTCTCACACTAGGACTTGGTTCTCATTTGAACCACATCCTATATATATATATATAGATTTACCAAATTCTAGTTTTGAAAATTTTGGAAAATAGTTGATCTATGGAAAATAATTATGGATTTGTTTGGAAACACTTATTGAGAAGTTCATTTCAAGATGGACTTTTTGAAAAAAGTGACTTCTCAAGAAGTGTCCAACATAAATTTCCTTGAAATGAACTTTTTATGTGAGTTACTTTTTTAAAAGTCCATTTTATTATTACACCAAACATCTTTTTATATAGGAAATGGACTTTTATAGTAAAAAATACATTACAAAAGTGCTTCCAAACATACACATAGTGTCATATTAGAGTTTTCAATCGAGAAGTCAAATTGTTAGTTTCGATTACTATAAAAGACAATTTATCAAGAAAAAAAGTTTCGATTACTATGGAAGACAATACATCATTCAGCTGTCGACATTATTTCCACATCCCATTTTAATTTTTTCTTATTTAAATAGGAATAGATTTGTGGCAGACTTTGTTAGTAGCAAAAACTTCTAATTGAAATCGACAACACTTCCAAGAACCAGTGCCGTACCCAACCCGAAGCGAAGATGGCGTCACTCGACTCCGACGTGAACATGGTCCCGGCCGGCGAAGGATCCTCAGGCGCCGGGACCTCCAACACCAACCCGTCGTCCTCGTCGTCGGCCAAGAAAGCGAAGCGATTCGAGATCAAGAAGTGGAATGCCGTCGCTCTGTGGGCTTGGGGTATCGTGTTGAAATCGCAACTTTTAGCTCTCTGATTCGTGTTTTTTGCTCGATTTATCTGAGATTTGTTTGTATGAATTTGCGTTTCTGATAATTTTTTGGGAAAAAACCTAAACCCTAATTCCCGATGCAGATATCGTGGTCGATAACTGTGCTATTTGCAGGAACCATATCATGGATCTGTGTGAGTCTCTTGTTTCTTTTGTTATTCGCTCGTTTGAAGTTTTGTTTCATTTTTGTCATTGTTTTTATTGTTTCAATGACTAGTTTTTTTTATTAGGCATCGAGTGTCAGGCTAATCAAGCTAGTGCGACAAGTGAGGAGTGCACAGTCGCTTGGGGTATGTTTCCCTACTACAATTGTCTTCTGTTTTATGATGAATATGCTCTGCTTTTTCTGTATTTTATACGATGTGGTCGAATTTGTTGATGCGATAGCTGGGATTGTTACTCTTGGGTTTGGTAAATGTTTTGCTTCGATTTTGAGACGCGATGCTTTCTTTCCTGTCATATATATATATATATATATATATATTGAATTCTTGTTTGGAAAAATTCCTATGTTTGTTGTTTGGTTTTTTATTTTGTGTATTTCTAGCTCTGGTTTTCTCTCGGGTATGTACTTATGTTAATGTAATTTTTCATAGAAATGGATGTATATCCTCTAGCAATAGTTGTTTGGCTGTAATCCCTAGCTATTTTTACTCCTATTTCATTTCAGGCGTGCCGTTTTGGTTGGTTACTTTAGGTTTTAGAGGAATATAATTCTGCAGAAAAGATATTTGTCCAATCAGTTTAGGTTCAGGACAGCTAAAAGTTCTACCATGGTAACATTGAAATATGAAATTTGAATCTTTGAAAACTGAATAAGTTATTCTTTCCTCTTAGCTTGTTTGTTATGCTGTGTTTAAATTTTTGTTTGGACCTGTTTCTTGGTTTTCTCTTTGTTGTATCAAAGGAAAATTGCATCTCGATTACATCCTAATCCTAGACAGCTAAACTAATGGTGACAATGTCACGCTATCATATCTTCCGTTTTCGTTTTGATTAAATTTCTTGCCATACAGACTATCATATCTATAAGAACTACTCAGTGTTATCTTTCGACAATCAGCAAAATACAGACCATCATATCTATAACAACTAGTCCAAGTGTTAAATATATATGGTGTATAAGTTGTCAGTTTTATATTTGGATGACTTGTATGATATCCGTTGCAAACGTACATTGTCTCTAGTATTTTTTTTTTCTTTTTTTTTTTCTCAATTACATGCATCACTAGCTGTCTGTTGTGACTTTGAGATCATAATCGATATGTTTTTTTTCATAATACGAAAAATCATAGATATCTTTTTCATAATATGAAAAATCATGTAGCGAATAAGCACATGAAAAACTAACTTGAGTTTTAGGTCAGTGAGATATAGTTTCACAAGTAGAGATAACATTTGTGATTTGACAGATGTGTCACTATGTTATTGTTCTCTATATTGCAATGCTTTGCACTTTATTCCTTGATTCAAATGAGTGAAAGTTTGTCCTCGAATAAATAAATTCTCCAGGTGTCTGTAACCATGCCTTCCATTTTCACTGCATCAGCAGATGGCTCAAGACACGTCAAGTCTGTCCACTTGGTAATAACTCAACAATGTTGCCGATGCAATTTATATTATCTTGAATAAAAAAGAGAGAGAATTTAACTGTGTTAATGATCTACTCATTTCACCAAATTCTACAGATAACAGCGAGTGGGAGTTCCAAAAGTACGGGCACTAGAAGTTATCACCGGACCTGAACTGAAGTATATATTTGCTTTTGTTCATGGAGATTGTAATTGCCTGGTGAGTTTTGGGAAATATGTGGTTGGGGCAATTGCCGTTGAGAAGAATATGTCCGTACTTAAAGTTCTCTATTTCAATCATGTTGTTTTTCTTTAACTTGCAGCAGAACTCAGAAATATATTTTTCGTCAATGATGTTTATTATATAATTCGGTCTGCGAATCCTTGTGTGTGTGAGTGTTGAGATAATCCATATTTGCTAGTTGAATTCTGAATATTTTAAAAATGTTCGAGCTTGTTCGAGAAGCTCTTAAAGAAAATAGGTATCGGTCTACAAAATCCTGAACTGATCAAATAACTGAGTTGAAATTCTCTCTACTAAAGGTTCTTAAGGCCATCTCCAATCGAATACTAAATACTCAAACCTATTTTGCAGTAATTATTCCATTTTGCAGTAATTTATCTCCAACCGAAAAACTCATTCTTCAACCCAAAAGAATATTCTCGGAATATTCTCTTTTACATCAACTTTTACAACTTTTCAATACTACCTACATATTTTATAATTTTACAAATTAAACCACACTATTATTTTCAATTCAGTTTGGACTTTATGTAATAAACTAATTATAAAGTTATAATCATATACATAATAAAATCGGATAAATAAATAGTCATTAAAAATTAAAATTTAAAATTACAACACACAAGATAAAATTAAAAATTACAACGCACAAGATGAGAAATTAAAAATCTACAACACACAAGATAAAATTAAAAATTACAACGCACATTAAAAATTACAACACGCAAGATAAAATTAAAAATTACAACTCACAAAATGAGAAATCAAATTTTTGCTAGTTATATATTTTATTATGAGACAATAGAAAATGAAAAAAACCAATGCAAAATATGTATCAAAATACATACTAAAATATATAATAGTATAAAACATACAAAATAAAATATATAGAAAATTTTATAATTAAATATATGATACAATAAAACATAAAAAGTACTATATATAATTGTATTATGGGTAGTGTATTAAAAAAAATTACTAAACAATGCATAGGAAAATATACTCTACATATCGAGGAAAATATACTCTACATATCGGGAAACACAGATGTAGAAAAGAAAAAAAAAAAAAATTGAAAAAATAGCCAATTATATACTGAAATAAAAGAACAACATACTGAGAAGGACCATATTGCAAAGATTTTAATTTTTTTGCGTTCATCAACAGTAAAACGCAAATTTGCGTTGGGAGGAGAGAGAAAATGACCAAATACGCATTTTGCGTTTGAGTTTGCCGATCGGTTGGAGAAAAATATTCCATCTCAAGATGCGTTTGTGCACCGGTTGGAGAAGGTCTAACTCATTGTACATTTTGCAAGGCAAGGTATTGTAGGGGATTTAGGAAAATCTGTCTTGAGCTAAAATTCTTTTTTTATGTTTTGTGATATAAAATTGAATTGGCCAAATTACACAAATACCTACAATACCTTTTCTTACTTCCACTTATGCTAGGTGATTTTTTGGATTACAATTTTATTACAACAAAAGAATTTTATTTCATACATATGTCAATTACTTATCTCATAATCTCTCTCCCCAATCCAAGTCCAAAAATAGGTAATTAATATATATTTTTTGCGAAATGGTATCCTTATTGATTATGAGATGCTTATTAAAAAAATATGACAAATCTTGGAGGCGGACCCACATTTGGCGGCCAGACGGTGTATCATGGACGACGTTGGTCAATCGACAGTACAAACGGGCTTGACGAGCCTGGTTAACGGGCTTGACGAGCCTGGTTTGCATGGAGATCGGACCTGAGAGAATCCCCTTGCCTGCCGTGTGGCCGATTCCCGGACCTGTTTACGTATAACATAAAAATCAAAATGTTACAATAACTATAATATACTGATAACAAATGAGAGAGAAACAACTATAGTTTGAGAATTTGTTTTCTATTATTCAATTTATAGAACACATATAAACTGTCATTATAGTGTTTTGTGGTTTAATTTCTTTGGTCAATGATCACGCTAACGTAAAAGAGAACATTACTAATGACCACGCTAACAACATTTTCACACAAATATAGAACCATTCATAAAATCTTGTATTTGAATGAGAAACAGACTCACCAAGAGCAATCTGCCTCTCAACCAAACCCATTGAGGCCAAGGGAACGAAATTAACAACTGACGAGCTCCATAGATAGCCACAACAAAGAAATGCAGAAAAAAGGCTTACTGGGCGTGAAATTTTTTTCTTTTCCAAGCTTGTGTGGTTAGATTGAAATATTTCCATATCAAAATATCTCCAAACATTATATAAGTATTTAAAAAAATCTATGGAGCCTATGGAGCCATCCACCACTTAATGTATTGACACTTGTCCAAAATATATTTATTGCAGGACACATGTCAATACACTATTGGTGAATAAGTGTGGATATCTCCATAAGCCGAGCCATCCGATGACTCCATAGCAAAACTGATAAGTATTTTACTATATTTAAAAAATATTTTGACTTTGTAAGACTATCTTTAAATATGACAATTGTAATTAAAAATCAATGCAAAAAAGTAATAATGTTGTGTAAAAATGTACCTAAAAAATTAGCGTAATATGATTGTCTAAAAATAACATATATGTGGTGAGGAATGTAATTAATCCTTTGGCTGGTTGAAGGTGAAATATTCCACTGAGTAGTATTGCATTGTAATAGCTTTAACAATGTTTCATTCCGTATAATTATATAATAAGGCTTATTTGTAAAATTAATAAATTGTAATTTAAGATTTTATTTTTTAACAATTTGATAAGTTTCTTTTGACAAATTACTACCCTGATCAAGAAGCGGAGAACTACACAACTTTCATCGTCTACAAACCAAAAGATAACGAACAATAAAAATTAAAATAACCACTTACCAAAAACTTGTAGCGGTGAGTTATACAAGACTAAAACTCGATCAGATATTTTCCTCACGTCACCTTATCATTAAGACAACGAACTCAAATTTAAATTATAGCGTAGAAGCTCAACACAATTATCGTCACAAATTCTATAACAAACTGGTGCAAACACTTTATATTTGACGCCTCAAACTATTTGAGTTGAGCCGACATAAATATTTAGAAATTTTACAAATCATTCTAAATATAGTTTTTAAAATTATTAACAAAAGAAATAATGTGATTATTTGTTAAAATGACAATAATAATTAACTGTTAACATCTTTAATAATGTCAGGTTTTGGGTTTTCTTTTCTCTCTTTTGCAACAGTTTCTTGTCCTAACTGAGCTATGTGTGGTCTGTTTGGGATTGGTTGCTAATTGGGAAATTTTCAGTTGTCCTATGTGATTGTGAAAATATTACACATATACCATCCAAAAATAAATAATTGTGTATGTACCTAAAAGATGACAAACTAATGCCTAAAATTTGTTACTTTTCTTGGGCGTGATTTTCGTTCGTAATTAAAAAAAAATAAAAAATCTTACAGTCCAATCTTTATCTTCTGCCGCCATGGATGCCCCCCACCCCGCTTCCAGTTCCTTTCTCCTCAACACTGTCGCGCACCTCCACGATCTCCGTAGAGATGGCGAGAAATTAGTGAATGAATTGGTGGCTAGGATTTACCGCCCTCGACTGAAGTTTCGTTGTCCGATCTACGACGGATGTGATGATGGGGTCGTCGTTGGCGATGGTGGTTTGCGTCGCCCATTTTTAGATGGCGATTGGAGAGAAGAACGTGCTGAAATCGATCAGGTCGAATATCGTCTGCGTGAGAGCAAAAATTGGGGGAAAATTACAAAATCGCAGTATATATATCACAGTCGACTATATATATAAATTTCACATATACTGTATGATAATATACTATAGATATACCAAAACACAACACAAACGATTGAGGCGCAATCAATCTTTTTTTCTTAAGAAAAGTTACGCAAATATACCACACAAAAAGTTGACAGGTCGATTATTTGTTTATGTTTTTTTTTATTGATTTTAACGTTCAATGAAACGTACATGAATTTATTGTTTTTTTACGCAAAATATACCCAAAAAAAGAGGACATATATTCTGATATCACAATCGATTATATATATAATTGACATATACTATACATATACTGCACATATACCACAACACAGTATGTATCAGATCTTGAACTCACCCCTGCAGCCTGGTATTTCGGCAAAACGAGCATATGTCGGAGCCCGACTTGCGTGATGGTATCTCCTAACTGCGCGAGCACTATTTTCGCTGATCTCCAGTGATTCTAACTGGATAGTTTAGGGTTTTAGGGTTCCAATGAGTTTTCTTGTTCGGTCGCCGGAGGAGAGAGGGGCACGGGCGTTGCCATATACAGTCTGGTGCTTTGGAGAAGAGAGAAAAAGAGAGAGGGAAGAGGATGAGAGCGAGAGAGATGGTGAGCGTGAGTGTTTTTAGAGAGAGAGAGATAATTAAGTCAACCGATTTATTTGGTAAGTAAATCTCACCAGGTATATTTGCAATATTTTGTGGATCTTTAGGCTATTTTAAAAATAAAAATAAAAAGGTAACAAAAATGTTATATAAATTAAATAGGATAGTATGGAGGGTAAATTCCTCTTGCTAATTTTGGGAGTCCCTGGACTCTTTTTCGCTCTTCTATTTGATTTTTAAAATATATTTTTGTATTTAAATTGTCTCATGACATTAAAAATATTATGCAAGTGAAATTTATATGTTATTGAACACTTTTTTATGTATAACATTGTTGGTTTGATTCTTTGGCACGTAAAGTACTATATGAGTGTTCGAGTTTTATCTAAAATTGTGTATTATTATTTATTAATTAACAATTTGTTTTAAAAAAAATGTTAAGGGATCCTATTTATTAAACAAAATTGTAGTAGAAAAATAATAGAAATTTTTATGGATTTGCACGCCATTTTTTTAAATGTATTTCAAAATTTTGATTAAGAAATTTTGAAAAGAATTATTAGTTTTTCCTAGAAATGAAACTCAATTTCCTACTGATACACTAATTTTTTTACCAAACAAATTGAACCGAATATTTGGTTAAAGTAAAATGAAAAGAATTATCAATTTTTCATAAAGAAAGTGTTCAAATTGATTGAATTTTTTTCCTAAATAATTGGCTAAGGTTTGACTTTTGTTACCAAAAAATATAACCGAATAGAATCGTTAGTTTTTCCTAGAAATGAAACTCAATTTCCTTCAATACACCAATTTTTTTATCAAACAAATTGAACCGAATATTTGGTTAAAGTAAAATGAAAAGAATTATCAATTTTTTATAAAAAAAAGTGTTCAAATTGATTGAATTTATTTCCTAAATAATTGGCTAAGGTTTGACTTTAAATATCAAAGATTAATAGCTTTTGTTACCAAAAAATATATACGATTTGAATACATATACAGTACGGAATATTAACTTTTATCCATGCTTAATTACGAAATATAGTTTTTTGCTACATAGAATTTCGAAAGTGCCGATCTGCCACTTATGTTCAACGCATGTTGCAATTATATATAGGTGGATATAGATATTGTAGATTCCTATCATCAATAACTATAAATCGTAGTTTTACAGATTATGAATCCAAAAAAGTTAAAATGTTATTCTAATATGAATGGGTCGGGCTCACGAATTCTTATTACTTTTCTCATAATAACTTTTGAAATAAAAAAGCATTGTTTCTATATTTTCATTTTCTCCTATATATATTATCAAAACGTGCTAAGTCTAAATAACAGTTCTCACGCTTTGAAATCCTAATGTCACAATTTCATGCTTCGTATTTAGGTTCAGATAAAAAATTTGGAAACAAAATTGACTTGGAAAGTGCCATAAATAATTTTTTCACCATACATTATTGCCTCACATTAATCTTTCTTTCGTTACCAAATTTGTTTCGAATTAAAAGATCACACAAATCTTTCTTTCCTTATTTCATTTTTCTATTTTAAAGATCACTTGAATTTAATAATTGAGTTAACAATAGATCTTTTATTTGACAGTCGATCAATGCCGAGTTAACAATATTTCTTTTATTTGATAATTGAGTTAACAATGTTTTATTTATAATTAATTTTTTAAATTCTTTTATTTGATAATAGAGTTAACTAACACCATATCTACATTAATTTTTTTATATTCTTTTATTTGATAATTGTGTTAGCAATGTTTTCAAATGTTTATCCTATCCAATATATGGTAACAAATTTTTTCACATTCTAAAATCTTAAATTGAATTTGTAACGGGATTCTAACACCATATTAAAAAATTTGGGAGCATAATTTTGAGTGATTTGTCCGAAATTAGGTACCATGATTCACATGAGGGGAATAATTTATATTTTCCTAACCTTTGTTTTAATAATAATATTATAAAATTAATGTAGTCTAATTATGTTTACAAATATTTGATATGGTAATATTCCATTACCGTGGATTTAATAACTTTCTTCACACATACCTATTGATATACATCCCAAAATATTTGGTGAATATATAGTACAAATTTCTGTACACTACGAAATCTTCATTTGAATTTGTATTCTTTTTCTTTTATTTGACAGTACATCAACATCAAGTTAACAATGTTTTTTTTATTTGATAATTGAGTAAACAATGTTTTATTTGATAATTAATTTATTTATATTCTTTTATTTGATAATTGAGTTAATTAACACATATCTACATTAATTTTTTTATATTCTTTTATTTAATAATTGAGTTAACAACGTTTCTAATTTTTTGACAAATATATAGTAACAAGTTTCTTCACACTCCAAAATCTTCAATTGAATTTGTATTGGAATTCTAACACCATATTCTAATGGATTTATTTCATTTATTTTTTCCTTCATATATACTACAATACTAAACTCTTTTACTTTTTTTTAAAAATTATTTTTTCATGTATCCGTTTAGTACACGAAATGTGGCACACGCCTTTGATTAAGAAAGAACAAGTTAGTCATAGGTAGAACTGTTAAAACAGACCAGTGGGGTGGGCTGGCCCGTAGCCCTCCAAAGCTCGCCATCCTGGCAGGCCAGAGAAAAACAGGCCCAACCGGCACCACCCTCGTGCCCGCCTATTT